AGATTTTGCGGACGTACACCATTAAAAATGCCATAGTAACCATACACTTCGTGATTGCATCACTCCGTTCCTGGTATAATTGTTTATACTACCAATATCGTATTTAATCCAGTATACCATGATTTATATCTCAGATTAACGCTTTCGATTTTTTTTGGCCAGCATTAACTGATCGACATTGATTAAACTCTAATCTTACCCTATTACAAGCGACACGACATATATACAGTAAATCGCGTATTTATAATTTAATTATTTAATAATGGTTGAAACTTACTGTATTTAAATGCCTCAAAAATATCAAAATTTATTCACAGCTACAGATATAACAAAGTTCACATTCTGATCTAATGCCTTCACTATATTAAAAGACAAATTTATATGTCTGTATTTAAGAAGCAAAATTTTTTCATTACTTAAAAATATTTGTATATTGTATAAATAAAATAAAAAAAATACTAACCAATCTTAGGTTAAATCACTACATTTACATGTTAAAGATTTTTTGGTTGTTCTGTTTTTCGCTTAATATCACATGTTCATTAATAACCAATTCGATATCATATCCACCAAATGGTGTCTATTAAATAACTTCTTGTTATCTGGCAGCTTATTATGATTGTGCTGCCAAAATAACTCGAGTTATTTGGCAGTTTATGTAATTACTGCCAAAACTCGAGTCATTTAGAAGCACAATCGTCATAAGATACCGGATAATTCCGTTATTGTATGCTATGCTAGCCAATAATTCCTAATGAATTATTTTACAAATAATTCGAGTTATTGGCTGCTTCGTATCCAATAACTATATATTATATGGCAGATATGACGTACACTTATGGAATGAATTTTATATTACTTCTGCAGATTTTTATATTAAAATATAAGAATTTGTCATATAGTTTTTAATAAAATTTGTAAAATTTTTTCTATTAGTGTTTACATAGTACCTGCCAGATAAATAAACTTAATCCACATCCGCTATAAGCATAGATATTATAAATAACTGTAATATAAAGGAAAATTTATTATTTAAAATTTGGCTCTGGCAAACTCAATAATAGATCCGGTTTAACGGGGTTCGCTATAACTATACATTGGTATCTAAATTATTTTTTTAAAAAAGCAATTTTGACAAACATTTCGACATTGCTAGTTTTTTTATATGAATTCCACAAAGTAACTATACTACCTAATGTATTTTGATATAAAGAATTTAAATAACTTCACTAAAAATTTTGACAACCATGAAATTTAATTTCGCCATTAAGAAAAAATAATTTCAACAGACTAAATGTCGAAATAAGAGGAGTAATTTAGACACCCATGTATAGCTATAACTAGGGTAGAGTGTATTCATTTTTTAAAAAGATTGATCTGCCTTATTATTTTATTTGTAGCTTCACATAGTTAGCATAAGGTCAAGTGGCATTGCTGATTTTCAATAAAGACCTTAAATTGCTTAAAAAATTTAATTATAAAATGCCAAATTAAAATTTTTAACTACATTTTGTAAAAACGGTATCGTGTCTAGTGAAAAAGTGTGACTTAATCATCTAAAAGCTAAAACTAACTAAATATAAACACTCAAACAACTAAACTAAAATCAAAAGATCCTTAAAACTAGTGATGTGCCATTTATATGATACCTGAAAATTTTTAGCATACAGTACGTACTGTACATACTGTACGTATAGTTCTTTTCTGGCATCTGATTGGCTGGAACAAGTGATCGGTAAAAATTTTAGCGTAAAGTATATACAGTACGTACGTATAGTACTGTACACGGCACATCACTACTTAAAACCTTGAATTGGTAGGCAGAAAGAGGCGTGAAGAGACTTGGTCTGAGTCTCAAGGTATTTTCAAATCTTTCTGCGGCTTTGCTGGAGTTCAAGCTAAGTATAACTTCATATTATCCTTTTATCAGTAGTTTTGCTTAAATAGAAAGTTAAAAGTAATTCCTCTTCTTTACTTCCAGCGCACCAGGTCTTTAGTCTTTGATTCGATCGTTAAGATTCTTAACGATCGTCACGTGAGTCACAGGATTAACGTAGCGATAGATTTTTAATTAGAGGTAACAATGAGTTTAAATCACGTATTGTTTGGTTGTAAAAAGTGTCTCAAATCGCTAATCGATTCTTTCTTTTCTCTTATTCTGAGTAAAAATCGAAAGTAAGACTAATACAAATTCTGGAAAACAAGAGAGTTTTTAGCGGCGATTTATGTAAATAAGGGCTTATTTGGTTATCAAAGGAACTTGGAGTTGACACTTTTTACTCGAATTTCAAAGGTCAAGACTCTACTTGTGATTTACAATTGAGTAATAAAGATAACAAGGCAAAGAATTGAATAATTGAATGTTTTTTAAAAGCGATATTTTGGATGAGTAAAAAAAACTACTGGAGTCACTGCTTCTACTTGTTATGTTTCGAAGTGTTTAGCTCAACTGAGTTATTTTTATTTCAACGCGAAAAAAGTTTGCTTATGTACTTTTTACAGGGCTAAGAAAATACAGGCTTCGTATTCGAATAAATCTGCTAAAGCAGATTTATCAAACTTAATGGATTTATCTAGTGATGTGCCGTATACAGTACTATATGTACAGTACTGTACATACTGTACGCTAAAATTTTTGCTAATCACTTGCACTGGCCAATCAGATGCCAGAAAAGAACTATATATACTGTACGTACTGTACACTAAAATTTTTCAGGTATCATATAAATGGCACATCACTAGATTTATCCTATTAATCCAGACGAAAATGCCATCCGGATCTCAATAACTAAGCTAAGTAAACTAAATATCTATATGTTTATATATAACGTAAAACAAAAATATTAATATAATAGTTAAAATAAAAAAATTTCGCAAAGGAGTAGAGCTTTGACACGGGTCAGAAAATAGTGACCCAGATGGGTCAGGCATTTATCCGGGTCATGACCCCAGGTCAACGGGTCATGCGGACAATTGTAAAATTTTTTGAAGCTAAAGCTATTATCATAATAGAACAGGGTGAAACCTGAGTTGCGAAATAGTGAAATCCGCTTTGTAGATCGGGTTAGAGTGAAATCCGCGTTTTATTCTGCATTTACGTATATATATCATCCTTATGGAAGCAGATTCACTATTTCACAACTCAGGTTTCACCCTGTCGTATCATGATTTCTAGGACACCTATAAAAATTTGCTGAATGATTTTTCGGGCTACCTATACAGTTATATTGCACAATATAGCATAGCAGGCTTTTAATTTGATTGGATGATCGACCAAAATATGTACTACCTATTAGCGTAACGTTTATCAGCCACAAATACGAATTGTTTTTTTTTGTGAATAAGTAATAATAAAAAAATATACATAACGACAAATTGATATAATCCTAATTAAATTATATAACTACTATGTATTAAAAAGAAATTTTAATTAAATATTCACTAATCTCTTCGATAAGTAATCCCTATATGGTGTGATCATTTCGTACGTGCTAATTCGAACACCATCTAACCACCTTGCTAAAAACTTATCACCATTCTTTTGAAAATTATAATCTATTAAACAAGGTCTATTCGATTAGATTTTCACATTCTGTAGCTCTAAGTTGAAATTCTTTAACAGAATTATCGACTCCCTATTTTCATTCATCCATCCTTGAATTATTTTCTGTTTGACACCAAGGTTTAGGTGTTTGTCAGTTGCTATTTTGCACATTTTCCAGAACCCAATTCATCGAATACTAATATATACGCAGTTTTGTTGTAGCACTTTGAGTTAATCCATATACTTTGAGATCACTATTCTTTAATTGTATATTTGCACACTTAAACATATAAATATAAATTAGAATGAAGCAACTGCTAAATACAAAGATGTCTACATATAGTAAACAGAAACCAGTAACTTATCTGTTGGTAGAAGTAAGGCTTTGGCGGATCGTCCATTTGATTGGTAAGTAAATTGAGATTGGCGTTGTATTGACAGTGACGATATATAACATAGTCGCAGCTGTAGTTATTACTATATTAGAGGGAAAATATAAGAAGTTGGAAGTGAATAATTAATAATAAGGATTTTCAAAGTTTACAAATAAGTGATGCATTTCAAAAATAAATAGAATTTTTTCATTAGCATTTTCACTATGTTGAATTATAAATCGAAAAAATAAAATAGGATTCTTGAATTTTAACTTTGAAACCCCCTAATACTGTAATAAGAAAATATAAGAGAAGAATTAATCACACCCGTAATGTAATAAAGAAATGTAACTTACTAATTATAAAATCTTTGCATTCTTATTGGTCGATTTAGCTCTGAATCAGATCTGAGTCATGATTTTCAGATTCGGAACCACTATGCTGCGCAATATAGTGTTTTTGCCTATTTTAAATTCTGACCCGTTTGACCCGGGTCAGAGCAATTTTTGACCCGTGACTCGGGTCAAAACTCTACAGAGGAGGACAACAGAGACCTCTCATATTGGCCAAGGCGAAAAACCTGATAATCAAAATTAAAATGTTTAAAAAGTTAAGTTTAAAACAATAACTTTAGATGATGAGTATAAATTATTTTGAAAGAAAATTAATACTCAGAAATTTATATATTGCACAAACTATATGGGCTGCCGTCAATAGAAATCAGGCAGATTGACATTTTAAAAAAAAATCTATACCTCAACTTTCACAGCTCATATCTCGATGGATTTTGAAATTATCTTGATAATTCAATATTCAAAAGAAATATTAGAACTTAATCTTTCTTTTGAATATTAAATTATCAAACTAGCTTCAAAATTCATCAAGATATGAGCTGTGAAAGTTGTAGCATATATTTTTTTTAAAATGTTAATCTGCTCGATTTCTATTAATGACAGCCCATATTATTATTAAATACTATTTTAGTTATCAATTATTAACATGAGAGAAAAGACCAATTCAACTGGGAATTGGTTAAACATATGTCATTAGTGGCTATTATTACTATATTTTTTCGAATAAAGAATTTGATCAAACTTATAGACAGAAATTCGCTCGATAAGCTGATGCAAATTAATTGCCTGGTGTTGTAATTAGAGATGGGTTCGGTCAGTTATTATCAGCTAGCTGCTCATAGTCGACTACGCTGTAGCTTAGTCATCGGCTAAATAGCTGGCTATAGCCGATTAATCAAATATCCAAATAGGCAATAAATAATTTTATCTGGCACCTTACTATGATCGTACCAACAGAATCACTCGAGTTATTTTGATGATAATTGCACCATCATCAAATAACTTTATTATTTGATAATAATTGCACCATTATCAAATAACTTCGCTATTTGATGATGATACAATCATCATCAAAATAACTCGAGTTATTCTGTTGGTTCGGTCATCATAAGATGCCTGATAATATCGTTATTGAATGCTACTCAGCCAATAACTTGTTTATCTGGCAGTGAATTTAATATATCATTTCTGGGCCCCTTCGGAGCCCAGAAGCTAACATATTAAACTTAACAGCCAGATAATGAAATTATTTTACAAATAATTTCTGTTATTGGCTACTTCACATCCAATAACTCTATAATATTGGGTTTTTGATGAATCCAAAAAATTATTTGTGGATCTGCATCATCTGATCAAAATCAAAGATCATCTGACCAGATTTAAAATTGGTTGTTCTAGATCTGGCCAAATGATCCGCAAATTTGACCAGAATTATGAATGATGGGCTCATCTATTTATTATAGTCTTATGTCGAATTAATTATTAATTATTATTTTTATTGGCCAGAATATTAAAGATCTAGCATCGACTACAATTTTAGCCAGTTGGCTAAATATCGACTACGACTAATAGTCGACTATAGTCTATCCCTAGTTGTAAAGTTGCAACCATGGGAGAGACTTGACTAACATGAGGTCAAATAAACTCAAGGTTACAAGCAAAGGTTATGCGAGATAAATGTTTATAAATAATTTGGAATTAAGGAATGTAGTTTAGAACTCTTCAATTCAATTCTCTTTATTAGTTTAGGCTTCATCTTTATACATTGCAAAATAGTCATCAAGATCTGTGGTCTCAAACTATTATATGTGGCCTCTAACCACGATGTGTGGTTTCAAACTTAGATCCTCCATAAATAGCCATTTAATAATGAAATGCAAGAAATATATACACATAAAAATTTTAACACAATTTTTACAACACTGAGTAACTTATTTATACACTTTAAAGGATGTAAAATAGCATTTTTATTTATTGCTCTTTTCGATTTAGTTGGATCAATGATCTGCCCAATTTTTTTTGAGTCATGTAATTACGATGAGTGTATCAGTTCATCTTCATCATATTTGGTGAGATTCATATTAGAGTTCTTATATTTAAAAAAGGATATTGCTAACTTGCCCCCTAGTGATTTAACCACCCCACTATTTACCAATCATGTAGCAGGATCTTGTGTAACAAAATAAAGAAATTTTTTAAAAAATTTAAAAAATTAATAATATTACAAAATTTTATTACAAGAACCTGTTATAAGCTATTAAGTAAAAGTTTTCAGCACCTAATTTTGTATACAAATAAGCTACAGTTAATTTAATATAGCCAGTATTCTAACTTTAATCTTTAAAGAATATTTATTTATATAAAAAATTTTATAAAAATAAAGAGTGGTGTCACAGGTTGATTAGTTATTTTCATCAACAAAATAACCTAACTCAAATGAGGAAGCACTTTAATGGTTATTAATGTATTTTAATCTACTCAAAGGAAGTACTAAGTTTGCTTTTTACTATTCACAGATTTTTATTTATTCAATTTACTAACTTTATTATTACTTTCGCTTCAATCCTAATATATATAATTTGACTCTGGTCATTACATCATATATTGATTATACGACCTTTGTCTCTTAAATTGATTACATACTTTATTCGATTGTTCATGCGCAACTTAATAATATACTATTTTATACCACCTATTACTACATAATTGATCTCTTTCTTGATATATTAATTATTATCTTACTTTGGATTTAAATATATTACTGACCATCTTTACTTTGATCATAATTCATGTGAGTTGCATGAATCACGTGTACTTCTATTCATTTGTTCTGGCCCAAAGATATATTAAATATATATAAAGTTTTTTTTTTAATTTTTTTTTTTGTATATTTTTTTATTATCGGTTATTTAAAGCTCTAAGTCAATACCCTTCACTAAATATATCACATACTTGTTTTCACTGTGACATGAGCTAGATTTCCATGATTTTTGTTCTCGAAATCACCATCTGGCCTTTTATTTCTTTCAAGATCACACAAATTTTTGCATATCTTCAACAACTTTTTTACCCTATTTCTAGTAAGTAGATCCTTTATTTCCACACCATCAAGTTCAAAAAGGTAAAATTGACTATAGTTTCCAATCTTTCGAACTTTGTACAGACCAAGCCAACGATAATTCAATTTCTGAGATAGAGACATTTCCAAAGTAGAATCATATATCAAGACCAAGTCACCCATATTAATTTTCTCTTTATGAGAATCATTATGATGGTCATAAAAATATTTCTATTGCTCTCTAAGTTCATCTTGGTTTATTTGTACACCCTTTAACTCATGAATCAAAATTTTCATTTGCAAAACTCAAAATTCTAGCAATTCTTCGGTTGTTCAAGTCCCTTTTATCACAAACATATTGTATGTTTCAATAGTCAATTTGACTGGTGTTACTGCATCTCTGCCATACACAAGTCGAAAAAGAGAATAACCAAGTTTTCCAATAGTTATGTTCAAAGCCCACACACATTCATGTAAGTATTCATGCCAATGATTTTGTTTTTCTGCACATACTTTGAATAGAACTTTGGTCAATTTCTGAACTGTTCTTTCTGCTCTACCATTTGCCTCCAGATGATAGCTGGCTACAAATTTCTGATCAACCCCTAATCATATGGTAAGCTCATTCATTAAATTATTTTTAAATTCTATGCCTCTGTCACATATAAGTTCAGCAAAACATCCATGTCACATGATAACATTGTCCAAATAAATTGGGCAATATTCTTCACATTCTTTTTCTTAAGTGCTCGGGCTTCAATAAATCTAGTTAAATCTTCTACGGCCACTACAATATATTTATACCTAGCACTTGTACGATGCATGGGGCCTATGCAATTCACAAAATGTTTGTGAAAAATTTAACTTGTTGCTGTAATATGAATGGGCCTCTTAGAAACTTTATGTTCACATTTTTGACATATCATACACGACAATATATAATTCTTAACATCTCTATATAAGTCACCGGTGGCCCATTCATAGTTCATTAATATTTTTCTTATACAGCTATTAATTCCTTGGTGTCCACCTTCACCAACTACTCCTTCATGATTTGCTCTTACAATCATTTTCTTTTCTTCACTTTCAAAAATTATGCATCTTGGCGACCTACCATTCACAGCTCTTCGATACAATCATTCATCCAAAAGACAGTACCTTCTTAATTTTGGATTTAATTATTTTATATTATTTTTTATCACATGCAATGGCCAAGAAAATGTTTTCAGGTATTGTGTTATTGCTTTTATATCATACAGTCTTTGGTCTACTTTATTTATACTCATTAACAAATTCTCTATGTATTCTTCATCAGTTAGACGTTGCTGTATTGGCATATTCAGATACTTTGAAATTCCATCTGTGCTTTCATGTGATTTCCCCAACTTATACTATACACAAAAGTCAAAGGTTTGTAGAGCCAAAACCCACCGCATAAGACATCCCTTAAGTACTGCTTTGTTGAATAACTATTCCAATGCATGGTAGTCAACCCAAATATCAAACATAGTTTCTCCAACATATCGTTCATTCATGTTGCAGCCAAAAACAATACCAAGACACTCCTTTTCTATAATAGTGTAGTTAACCTCATGTTCATTTAATTTGCAGGACTCAAAAAAAATTGGTCTCATTCATCTACTACAATTACTTTGTTCTAAAACTACCCCTAATAATATCACAAGCATCTGTATATATTTGATATGGTTGCTTTCCTCTTTTTGCACTTTTCCAGTCAGGTGCTTTTAACATAATATCATTTATTATTGCCTCTTTAAAATGTTGAAATAATTGTTGCTGTTCCTTATTCCAATAGTACCCTACACTTTGCTTTGTAAGATTAATAAGTGGCTTGGCTATCTTACTGAAATTTCTAACAAATCACCGATAGTAATTCATTATCCCCAGAAAGGATCATACTTCAGTTAGACAAGTAGGTATTTTCCATTTAGTTATCCTTTTAATTTATTTAGGATCAACCTTCATACCATACTTACTCACAACATATTCAACTCTTTATACAACAAATGACACTTCTTTACCGCAAAAGTTAATCCAACTTCTTTAAACCTTCTAGCTAACTTTACAAATAATTTAATGTGATCTTCAATAGTATCATCCGTTCATAAACCCACATCATCCTGATAAGCTGTGGTAATATCTCGCCATTTTTCTTCTTTCAGCACAATGTCCATGAGACATTGAAATGTTTCGCTAGTATTCTTTAACTCTATACACATTACTGTGTATCTCAAAAGTCCAATTGGGTTGAGACAGCTACTTTATCTCTGTTTTTTTTTCTGATTTGGATTTGCCAATACCCTTTATATGCATTGACTGAGGAGTACTAGTCATGCCCAACTGCTGAATCAAGTATATCACATATCATGGGCAACAAATATTCATCTTTTATTATGTATTTATTCAAGGGCCTCATGTCTCCTACAACTCTAAACTGATCCATATCTTCATCTTTCTTATTTACCAGGAAGCAATAATATGCATACTGTCTTTTTCCTTTTTCTAGTAATCCATGTCTCACCATTTCCCATAACTAGTCCCAGATTGTTGATACATATCAGCCTCATTCGGGCTTCCGGTATTGCTTTTCCTCCTGTACATACTTCGTACTCAATTAAATTCGTCTTTTCTATTTTAGACAGCTCAAAAGCAAATACCTCAGGTACATCTTTAATCAGCTGATTAATTAAGTATTCTTTATTTTTTTTTGAAACCTTATTGCTAATATCCAACATAATACTATTTTTCCTAGTAAGACGCATGATTAGCTCCGGCTTTTTAATATTCACTATTTCATTTTCATTTTTGTGGTCTATGGTCCAATAAATAACTTACCTACAATGTTGGGTTTCTTCAAGTTGATTGTTATCAATAGGTAACACTTCTTCCATTGTTAATCGATTGCCATTACTGGCTTTATTTAACACATCTTTATATCTACCATTCATTTTTTCTATTTTAGCCTGCTCTACCTGGACTCTTCACATCAACAATACTCCTATCTCATCCTCATCGTCACTCTCAAGTTCTTCATCTTTATTATACCAATGACTCATCAGCTCTCAGGTACTGTAGTAGTGATAAAGGACACTTTTCTACAATTGGAAGCAATAGAACACCAGTATTGATTATTCTTCCATTTCAATTCACATTTTGCTGCTGCAATTCATGGTATACCAAGTAGTATGTCAAAACTAGCAGAAGCTATGACATAAAAATTTTGGGTAACTATGACTCCTTCCTCATCAACTTCTATATTTAATATATAACCCAGAAAATTGCTAACACTATTGTTAGCCATTCTCCCTTTTTCATTAACCATTTTCTATATCAACTCTCTTTCTTTTGCATATTTTTCGTACATCAAATTTAATCATGATTCAGGGTTAATTGGAGTGTTGTTTTCTCTCTATTGATAGTTACTACACCCATCAGTACATCACCATCCTGTTTTATACTAATATCCTGCACCGCATGGACGATACTCACATTTGTATCCATCATGGCTACACCATTCTCTTTTCTTTTATATGTCATTGCCTTTAATATTTCTGACCTAGCTTTTGGGAACTATTTAAACAATTGTCCCAAAGTTAAGGTTACTTCCAATTCAGCAACCTTTTTCAACACATCAAGTTCTTGACTTAATTCGGATAAGGGATTATATATTATAGGGCTTAAGGTTCATGATTCTACCGAAATATTTTTATTTTCATCAACTTTCTCTTTTTTCTTTCTATTTTTGTAACTAATAGTCTCTTCTTCATCAACACATTTTTTTTTTCTGAGTTCCCAATTTTTTATATCGAATATGGGTTCTCCTTTTACTATTTCAACCTTTAAGCATTCAATTTCAAAATTACTTGACCCTGTTGTTATTTCGAAATACCGGATGTTTGCTTCCAGAACCTCAACATTTTCAGTTTTTATATCTCTTTGTTCATTTCTTTGGTCAGGCGGGTCCTGTGCTATCTGATTTGGACAGTTACATGAGATATAACCTTCTTGTTGACAATTAAAATACTGATGATTATCAAGGTTTCTTTGTGGCCTAGTAAAACTTGCACTTCTTGACTGAGATCGTCCAAAGGATAAGTTGTTACTGATAAGTTCTTTAACTACCTTCATCAACTCCTTAATATCTGTTTCAATTTTCTCTATTTTACTATCATTGATGCTTTCTTGTTTAACCCAATTTATTGTAAGAGCTTCTATCATAGTAGTGATGCTATCGATGTCTGCATCATTTAAACGAGACTTTTCTTTAGCCATTATTAAGCTTCTATTATTACTTTGCTCCCTATCTTTTTAATAACTTCAATTTAAAAAGCAGTTACTTTGGCTTTGTTGAAATTATCAAAACAGAAATTTTTCACTCTCGATCCATATAACTTTCGCATTCCATCTAAATACCAATCCTGCTTCTCATCCTCCTTTATTTTGTCCTTAACTGTATCTGTATATGCTTCAAACCTACTTGTGTATTCCCTTATCATTTTCTTTTTACCTTGCTTGATGTTTCTTAAACAATTTATCTTCAATTTCTCATTACCTTCAGTGTTTATTACTCTCACTATTCCTTTTTCCAGCTTATTCCAGTTATTATTACAACCTTTTATTAATTCTCTAACCCATGCTTTTGTCTCATCAGGCATGTGCATTACTATCATTTCGCACCTCATTTCATTATCCCAATTCTTCGACTTGGTGTATCTACTATAATCGAAAAGAAACCCATTAATGTCATCTTTCTTCTTGTCATGAAAGAACGGTTTCATCAAATCTTTAGACATATTGATGCACGTGACTTGATATGTAAATGAGAATGAGATGTATTATGAAACAGTATATGTAATATTAATAACTCAAAGGTAAAATCCGTTTTTTGCTTTATAGTTTTCGATCTGATTGTAAATGTTCTAGTCTTTCAAGACTTATTGTTTGATTTATCACGAGATTAATGGTAATATGTCCAGGTTCTCATGTCGCAGGTTAATTAGTGTCTTTCGTCAACAAAATAAACTAACTCAAATGGGGAAGCACTTTAACAGTTATTAATGTATTTTAATCTACTCAAGGAAAGTACTAAGTTTGCTTTTTACTATTCACGGATTTTTATTTATTCAATTCACTTTATTATTACTTTCGCTTCAATCCTTATATACATAATTTGACTCTGGTCATTACATCATATATTGATCATACGACCTTTGTCTCTTAAATTGATTACATACTTTATTCGATTGTTCATGCGTAACTTAATACTATTTCGTACCACCTATTACTACATAATTGATCTCTTCCTTGATATATTAATTATTATCTTACTTCGGTATTTCAAATATATTACCGACAGTCCTTACTTCGATCATAACTCACGTGAGTCGCATGAATCACGTGAATCACGTGTACTTCTATTCGTTCGTTCTGGGCCCAAAGACATATTAAATATATATAAAGTTTTTTTTTTGTATGTTTTCTTATTATCGGTCATCCAAAGCTCTAAGTCAATACCCTTCACTAAGTATATCGCATACTTGTTTTCACCGTGACAGTGGTTAAATTTAATTAATTTTAACCAGGGGTTAAAATTAGTTAAATTCTTAAAAAAAAATACGACGAATATAAAGGAGTTAGCTATCTTGTATTCACGGACTCAGAACTCAAAAAACATTATGCAGATCGTCGATCCAACTAAATCGAAAAGAGCGATAATTATCCGTTAATTTCATAATATTTTCATTATGAAAGAATTCAAAGCAAGCAACCTATATGGGAATGTTTAAAATTATATAACATGTTGAATATAAGGCCTCGCAAAGTTGATTTTTCTAATAATGATAAATATCATTATCCTGCAAATCCTTATGATCATGAAAAAATTTCTTTTTGTTATTTTTTCATGTGTTACAACGTAATCATGTTTATTCGAATTAAACCACAGTTAGCCAATCACGACTTGAGAATTATGATCATGGATTGCCGGATAACACAAATATTGAGTCATGCGTTGATAAATATTATATACTTAATATCATATTTGATTAATATTATAAAAATTAATATCAAAATTAAACAATATTATAATAATTAATATTAATATTAAACATATTTCGTTAATATTATATAATACTTAATATAGAGGCATAATGAAAATTAGGATGAAACGAATACCTTTTTAAAAAACCTGTTATCATACGACTAATTGTGATACCAATGCTTACTCTTGTTGAAAAAAAAATAATTCATTATGTATAAGAAGTGGGATTTTATTTCATGGTTCATTTTTTTCGCTCTTTGCATATTTTTTGCTTTTAAAAAAAATCCATTAATAGAAATAGTATTCATGAATAAAATGAATATTGATGCTGATATAAAATTTCACTTTTTGCACAGGCAACCGAGTCGGTTGAATTTTCTTACAAGACATTTAATAAGATTTTTCACTGGCATCTTAGTGTCAATGTTAAGTGGAATAGGTTTTAATTCTCGATTTATATCATCATTTTCATAAATATTTCTAAGTAATGACTCCATTTCTTTCATAACAATATTAGCATCAGGCCTATTTTCAGGAATCGCATCCCAACATTTAACCATTAAAGCAGTGTAATCAAGTGGAGTTCCATCAACAACCTTTGGTCGCAATCCATTAATTATATCACTAGCAAATTCATCAACTGATTTAGTTATTTCATCATTAAAGGGGGGTTTACCAGAGGTGAGTTCCCACATAAGCATTCCTAAACTGTATATATCTGATTTTTTTGTATATGGTTTATTGCACAATACTTCAGGAGCAGTGTACAGGATATTTTTGTAAATACTATTAGACGAGTTTCTTGGTGTATCAAACCAAAAGTCACTAATCACACAATGAAACTTGGCCTCATCAACTAGGATATTTCTTGGATGCAAATTTTTATGTGCAGAATTTGAAAGTTTATGTAATTTTCTTATGCCATTAGAGATATTTCTGACTATTTTAAATATAATTTTCCATGGCAAATCTGGTTTCTTTGTAAGATAATCACGTAAATTACTGTCCATATGTTGAAGAACAAGCATATAATTTCGAGTGGTTGGATCTTTAGTGAATCCATAACATCTTATAAGAGATTGTGAATATTTTTCAATAGAAATGTTCTCAATAACCTAAAAATAATAATCAATAGTTGATAAATATCAGCAAAATATCCAATTTTATAAATATGTTGATTCGATATTTTGATGTTGGATGGGTCTTTACGTTATACATTTTATATTATTGTATTTATTTTATAGCTTATATTACCTCTTTGAGCCATCTCTCTTCAACTTTATTGGAATTATTCAACCTCTTGAGAATATAGGTTCCTTTACCACCTCTCTTTAGTATTTGTTGTTCAGTATCCCATTCTATATATGGACCATTCTCCCACGTTGCAGTGTAGACCAAAGATGTTCCACATTCTGTTTTTGGTTTAATATTTTCAAAGTTTTCAAAAGGAATCCATTCGATTATATTCGATGGTGCCACCGAATTGATTTGACATTCCTGAATTAATTTATCAATTTTATCATTTCCGGTAGTCCATTTGTTAAATCTACTTTTTAAATAATTTCGAACGCAATTTTCACAATAAATAACAGCTAAAACTTTGCTATTGCAATATTTACATAATCGTCTTTCTCCAATTTCTTCTATAATATTTTGTGAATCTCTTGTTATAATTAGATCAAAAATTAAATAATTCTTTTCGTGCTGTGTTAGATGCAGATTATTGATTACAACGTTACAAATGAATTTAAACATCTGAGAATTGTCAAGATTAGGAAAATTTTTCATGAATATTATGGCCATTTGTCGACAATCAGATATTAAATCTATTCTTAGATTGACGATATCTTTCATTATGCAATTAAGCTTAAACTAGATGAATCAAACCACTACTTGAGTGAGCAAACAAGCTCTTTTCACCTTTTGCACTCACGGAGTTTTTTATTAGTTTGCACCGCGGATTGTCCATTTGATCTAGTGTTACTAAATAAAAGTCTCGGATTTTTTTTATTCACGCATGTACTTCACTTAAATACGTCAAAAGTAGCACGTTTTAAAATAAAAGGAAAAATTATTACATAATATCCGGTTCAGCATGACAAATAGAATTATTTAAATGAACTATTCAATTTCCTTTTAATTTTCTATTTCTCTATCAGATGACAACACTATAAATATACTGTTGTCGTACAAATTACCAATTAGCATGTAAATTTTTGACCTTGTTGTCTGAAAAAATATGATTGCTGGGCTTTTCAAATTATATACTCATGAGACCATCACACGCAGCATAGCAGGGCCTTATTGCGATTGGATATTTTTGAACATAATACGTAATAAAGTCTTATTAAGTACCGATTTTCTGTCACAAGATTGCACAAAAATGAGGGGTCAAGGTTTTAAAAAGTAGTTGCGCAACGCAGTCGCGCTAAACCAAGAACGGATACTAGAAATGTTGAATAACTCCAATATAGAATAGTTATATTTAGTATCGAGTTCAGATACTTAAATAGATATCGGATATAAAGGTATAATGGCGCAGGCGGGTAATGTGGCGCATTAAAAATAATTCAAGAAAACAATTTCGTCTACTAAGTAAGGTTATTGGAATGTCATTTTTTAGATACCTTCAAATTTTGATACGATTTGGCTAACTTTTCATTAATCAACTTCTGCGTTACTCATTTTTGCAAAAAATTTAGTTTTTGTATCAAAATGCATAACACAAAATTTGATTAATAAAAAGTTAGAAGATATCTAAAAGCGACATTTCCATTGACTTTACTTAGAGGGCGAAATCCCAGCTCGCTTAATAAAAAATCATGTTTTGTATTGAATAATTATTTGCCAAATAAAATTTATGTATTATAGTCAAGGAATATCGATATACGTGTTATATAATACAGTAATAGGGATGACGATCCACCCTCCCGATTTAAATTTTAAAATTTTCTATGATTTTAAACGAATAATAAAATAACATGTATTTTATTATCGAAAACTTAATTAAAGTACTTTGGTATAAGTACAAGTTTACAAATTTTGTAAATGATCGACTCTCTTTTGAAAAAATTTATTACCAGTTGTTCTTAACTATGCCATTACACCTTCTGTCACCTTGAAATTAAAATAATTAAAATGGCTTAATTACCGTATTCCTCCGAAAATAAGCACCACTTTTTTGTTATAAGGTTTCTTATTTTCGGGTATAATCTCAACTTGAATGATTTGATGTTTAGTTACTTATTTCTATTATATAAGAGGTGCTTATTTTTGGGTATATATGAATCGTAGGGGTGCTTACTTTCGGCGTGCTTATTTTCGGAGGAATACGGTATATTGCTATGATATGCCATAATTTAAAATAAAGAAGACAATAACAACTTAGTTATTGTGCCTCTAAAGTGGAATTTCATTTTAATTTATAGCATTTAAAAAATTGGCTTTTTTCTTTCTTTTTTTCTTGTAAAAAAATTTATTAACTAGCATCTTTGCCAGTGAATTTTATAAAATTTATAAGGTGTAATTTGTAAGTTTGCATATTTTATGATGAATGATACGAGCCAGAATAGCTTAGCTGTTATTATATTCGTGCACCAAATTAGCATTATCTTGAGTATGTTAGATATTATTATGCTGTACACCTGCTCCAAATCGTTTGGATCAGAGAATAAAAATCAACATTAAATTGAATGAATCGACGTAATAAAAAAGCCACTGATATTGACAAACGGAATCTTTCTCAACCCATTTCCCACACACCACCATGTAGTCTTCTGATTCTATCATTTTCCACTTCTTATTTATCTGCTGGCCTACTTCAAGCAGGCAAAAAACAACCTACTGATATTGTTTCTCACTCGTTCTGATACTTGGCACAATCTTATTTGCTAATTTTTTTGAACTTCATCATTTCAGTTTGAATTACTTAGCTAAAATTAATCGCAATATATTCCGTGAACTTCAAGTCTTAATTGAATTTATTTTCAGATCCACTAGTTAAAATCAAAAACATTAGTAAAATATCAATATTTGATATGTGACTTATATGTAACTATATGTAACCTAAAGCTAGCCTATACTTTATAATTTTTAATAAACTAATATAAGCTAGCTTTAAGTTACATATAAACTTTAAATCTAGTACTGATATTTTTGATTTCAACTAGTGAGCCATTGGCCAGCCGGTATTTAACCAACCACATTACCAGTACCAATGCTTTTTGTATAGTAAATTTGCTCAAGAATCAATGGGATTAAACAATCAGTATGGTAAAATACAATAATATTGTCATTATATTCACTGAATAATACGAACTTTGCCATAGATTTGCCAATATCAGTATATTGTGGCATAAGTAACATAGCAGCAGAATATTGGGATACACTGATATCTTACTCTTAGTACTTTAGGCCTAAAAGTAAGATATCAGGCTATCCAAATATTTTGCTATTATGTTACCAATATCGATCTACATCACAATATCTTAGATAGTTTTATTATGAAAGCCCGAAAGGACATAATACTGACAAAGACAGCTAGCATTAGTTATAATCCTGGCCAATTTAGTCAGTATTATGTTTTTTCGAAAAAATGGCTTTTAGGATTTCGTAGTAGAACTATGGCAGACTATCAGGTATATACGTATCAGGAACTTGTTTCTTGTTATGTACCTAACACTAGTTGAAATCAAAAATATCGGTAAAATATCAGTATCTAATAGAGTTGCAGGCGAAACTGGTGCACCGATGATGAAACTAGAGTTATAGATGAAACTAATCTTCAACGGTGCACCAGTTTTCTAGTGAAATTAATTAGTTTCACCTGCAACTCTAGTATCTAATATATAACTTATATGTAACTTATATGTAACCTAAAGTTAGCCTTTATTGGTTTATTAAAAATCATAAAATATAGGTTTGTTTTAGGTTATATATAAGCTACGTATAAGTCACATATTAGATATCAATATTTTACTGATATTTTTGATTTTAACTATTGCAATGTTCATTAATTCAACCTGTGTAAATTATCTTGATATTAAAATTTCCCCAATTGCTAGCTATATAAATATAATATTTTTTGTATGAATATATACAGTTACTTGCTGTAATACGAATTATTAGTAGCTCTTCTACAAAAGATTTTTAGTTACATGTTTATGCTTATTACATGTATCTACTGTTATATGATTATTGTTATTAAATATAATAAATAATAATTATTTTAGTTTCTTTTTATTGCCTTTTCAGTACCTTTTATGTTATTTATTTGATACCTTTTATATTATTCTTTTAGTGATTTTTTTGCTATCCTTTTAATACTTTTTACATCATATTTTAATGCTCTTTATATCATTATTATTGTTCTTTTAATAATTTTTATATTGGTCTTTTAGCATGTTTTATATTTTTTTTAATAATTTTTATATATTTTTTAATACTTTTTATATATTTTTTAATACTTTTTATCATCCCAAAGTATAATCAAATACTTATTACATATTTACTAACTGCTTTAAAAAATAGCAATGTAGTAGGGTAGTAGATTAATTGATGATTCACAAGTCAGTCAGAGAGTGATTATCCCTTAAACCGTCTAGCGGGCAAATTTGCCTGCTAAAATGATTTTTGAAAAGTTTTTTTAAATTTTTTCAAAATTTATTTAAGCCTGCCCTCTCTATTTCTTTAGTAAAAATTAAAGATATCTGTTATATTAATAACATATTTAAATTTTATTATTTTATCTTTAATTTT